GTTTTTGTAAATCCTTGTGGCCGCCTTGGACGCCACGACAGTCCTGCACGACGTGCTCCAGGCGCAACAGCCTTCTTTACGGCTGTTTAACTCACCCGCCAGACCATTTCGGTCTTTTTCCAGCCATGGTTGATGAGGGGGGGGGGGTCTTTTAAAGTCCATGGTCCGTTGATTATTTGGTCTTTTCCGGTCTTTAAACCCATTGACCATTAGATATTTATACGGTCCTGGTCCGACATGATTTGCCTGCTCTACTTTTTAAAGCATTTGTTTATTTTGCTTTCGGACCATTAACCCCCTTCTCCCATATGGGTATGGGGGGGTATTTAATGTCCCCGTATGGGTATGGGGGGTATTTAATGTCCCCATATGGGTATGGGGGTATTTAATGTCCCCATATGGATATGGGGGGTATTTAATGTCCCCATATGGGTATGGGGGGGTATTTATTGTCCCAATATGGGTATAAGAGGATTTTTAATGTCCCCATATTGGTATAGGGGGTATTTAATGTCCCCATATGGGTATAAGGGGGTATTTAATGTCCCCATATGGGTATAGGGGGTATTTAATGTCCCCATATGGGTATGGGGGGTATTTAATGTCCCAATATGGGTATAAGGGGATTTTTAATGTCCCCATATGGATTTGGGGGCATTTAATGTCCCCCATATTGGTATAGGGGGTATTTAATGTCCCCATATGGGAATGGGGGGGTATTTAATGTCCCCACTATGGGTATGGGGGTATTTAATGTCCCCATATGGATATGGGGGGCATTTAATGTCCCTATATTGGTATAGGGGGTATTTAATGTCCCCATATGGATATGGGGGGGCATTTAATGTCCCCATATGGATATATGGGGGCTTTTAATGTCCCCATATGGGTATGGGGGGTATTTAATGTCCTCATATGGGTATAGGGGGTATTTAATGTCCCCATATGGATATATGGGGGCTTTTAATGTCCCCATATGGGTATGGGGGGTATTTAATGTCCTCATATGGGTATGGGGGGTATTTAGTACCCCCATATCCTCTGTATATCCGCTGTTGGTTGGACTAATACGGTTTAGCGGCCGTGAAGCAGACAAGTATAACCAACAAAGGTGTGGAGGCCAACAGGAGGTATTCAGGGCATCATTGTGATCTCTTTTGACATGCAAATCTATGGCCACGTTTACATAAAAGCCCACAAAAGCCAGCATTTTTCCTCTGTCCTCGACAACAATCGATTTATGAGGTTTCTGCGGGTTAAAAGTGGAAGAACCCGTTGGGCATTACAATTAAAAGTGGAGCTCGCGTTCCCATGAGGGGCGTGCTAGGGAGGGGCGTGCCTGGTAGGGGCGTGCCTGGAAAGGGCGTGCCTGAGACGGGCGTGGTTCCTAACAAGAGTACAATTGGTCTATTAAGAGCGTGACATATAGCCACAGGCGCCAATGGTCTGGTATCTCTCGATCACTACGAAATTACATATTATATATTAAATGCCATTTCTCCCCCCCTTACCCCCTTACCCCTTCACACAAGAGCCCGTGTAATCCTTAGGTTACCCCCCGATAGCCGGGCTAACATGATAATCTGTAGTGATAACAGAGTGAGTGATAACCTTGATATATCACGATATACTCGGCCCTGCACGAGTGTAAAATAGTTTGCACGGCAAAAAGTTGCCGTGCTGGGTCGTGCAGCGTCCTACCAGGAAGCAGGAGAAGGGAAGATAGTGTGTGTGTGAGTGTGTGTGCGTGTGTGTGTGCGTGCGTACGCGTGGGTGCGTGTTTGCCTACGTTAACTCAATATAAATGTGACTTTTAATCATGTTTCTATTATGTATTTCATAAGGAATTTGGTTATTGAGGCTCGTCTCAATGATGTCATCTTAGAGCCTATTCCAATTCCTTGTGTCGCTTGCTTGTGTTAAAGCAGTATCTTGTACGTTGTTGTCATATCTCCCACCGTTTCTTCCAAAGTGGTCAGGACGAATTTTTTTTCTAATTGGCACTGTTGTGAAGTCTTATCTCTCTTGTTTATAGCTATATTCTTCGTTTTGTTTATGTAAGACTTTTTTTTTTTTACAATCAAGAAATTCTCAGTCTTTTCCTAGGTATAGTATTATTTTTTCCCCTTCGAAGCATATTTATAGTTTTATATATGATATACCGTCACAAAATCGACGCTGGCGCATCGAGACACAAGTAACTTTAATTTTCTAAGTGTTCCACAAAGTGTCCAGGACCCAGATTCACGAAAGCACTTACGAACGTGTACATCTTTCCTCAATCTTTGACAGCTTTGGTTACATTTATTAAACAGTTTACAAGCATGAAAACTTCCCATTCAACTGTTGTTATTGTTATAAACAGCCTCCTGGCGCTTCGGAGCTCATTAACTGTTTAATAATTGTAAACAAAGCCGCTAAAGATTGAGAAAAGATGTACAGGTTCGTAAGTGCTTTCGTGAATCTGGTCCCAGCACCTTACAGGGAGTGAATATGGGTGACGCTTTGGTTCTTAAACTCCTCTTTCTTCTCTCTTGTGTATAGTTATCATTTACTGTCTTCTGTATGTCTGTATATTCATTTTTTGTCCATACAGACGTCGTTATACATGTATGTGTGGTATGTTATATATATATATATATATATGTGTGTGTGTGTGTGTGTGTGTGTGTGTGTGTGTGTGTGTGTGTGTATATCACGAAAATAAACACGTGAGTTAAAAATGTGACAATGTCAGAGCACGGAGGAAAAATGAAACAAGGAATTTCCTTAAGTACTTTCGTATATTAATACATCTTCAGAAGGAGTGACTCCTTCTGAAGATGTATTAATATACGAAAGTACTTAAGGAAATTCCTGTTTCATTTTTCCTCCGTGGTCTGACATGTCATATATTATATATATATATATTATATATATATATATATATATATATATATATATATATATATATATATATATATATATATATATGCTGAAGGTGGGGCTGAGGTTTCTAGGGTCGACATTAACCACGAAAACGCCCACACTGGAAGATAAGGTGATTATCAGGAGAAACCGCAAAGCCAATATGACTATATCCTCATATATGAGGACATATATATGTCTTCATAGCGCACTTGGAAGGGACATGAGGACAAGGTGTGCTAGAATATGAGGACCGTAGTGAAGGAACGATACCCAGCCACTTGGAACATTGGGGATCGAACGCCGACCCTGCAAGAAGCAAGACCGTTGCTCTACCGACCAGTCCCAGTGGCAGGCTTTTCCACACACAAATAGTTATCGTCTTGAGGTTATCTTGAGATGATTTCGGGGCTTTTTAGTGTCCCCGCGGCCCGGTCCTCGACCAGGCCTCCACCCCCAGGACATTTATCGATTAAACATTTTTTTCCCTTTGTGTTTAGAATTAAACTCGGATTAAATTTCTGGGAAGGAATATTTTGAGAAGCAACGAGCCCAATCGCTCTCGTTAACTCCATTGTTAAATCAAGCAACTGAAGCGGAAAGTAGAAGTTAATCCACATTCTTGTAATTGATGACGCTTGTTAGGGGTCCACACACGCGGTGTTTAACCGGCTGTAACACTTTCCTCAATCACTTAGACGTCAAGGAGTTTCTTTTTCTCCACTAAACTCATCCAATTCAGAAACCTTGGCAGTGACAGTGGAGAAAAACAGGAAAAAAAATCGACTTGAGAATGGTCCAGGACGAACCGAAACGTCGTCGTCCCTTCACCTTCTAGTGTGTGGTCTGGTCAACTTGCTTTAGCCACGTTATTGTGACTCATCGCCTGCAACCTCTGTCTACATCTGTCTGTTTGGACGTTACACAAAGGAGAGGAACCAGCCACAGAGGAACCAGACACAGAGGAACCAGCCACAGAGGAACCAACCACAGAGGAACCAGCCACAGAGGAACCAACCACAGAGGAACCAGCACAGAGGAACCAGCCACAGAGGAACCAACCACAGAGGAACCAGCCACAGAGGAAACCAACCACAGAGGAACCAGCCACAGAGGAACCAGCCACAGAGGAACCAGCCACAGAGGAACCAACTACAGAGGAACCAGCCACAGAGGAACCAACCACAGAGGAACCAGCCACAGAGGAACCAACCACAGAGGAACCAGCCACAGAGGAACCAACCACAGAGGAACCAGCCACAGAGGAACCAACCACAGAGGACCAGCCACAGAGGAACCAACACACAGAGGAACCAGCCACAGAGGAACCAACCACAGAGGAACCAGCCACAGAGGAACCAACCACAGAGGAACCAGCCACAGAGGAACCAACCACAGAGGAACCAGCCACAGAGGAACCAACCACAGAGGAACCAGCCACAGAGGAACCAGCCACAGAGGAACCAGCCACAGAGGAACCAACCACAGAGGAACCAGCCACAGAGGAACCAACCACAGAGGAACCAGCCACAGAGGAACCAACCACAGAGGAACTTCCCAGCCACAGAGGAACCAACCACAGAGGAACCAGCCACAGAGGAACCAGCCACAGAGGAACCAACCACAGAGGAACCAACCACAGAGGAACCAGCCACAGAGGAACCAGCCACAGAGGAACCAGCGTACACATCCTAGAGGCAGCCGGGAGAACCAGGATGAACCACATTACTCGGGTAACCACAACAAAGCAGTATAGTGTGGTTCCAGAGGTTCTTAGATGACCCAATAGGGACAATAGGGACCCAATAGGTCCAGCCAAACCCCCAGACTATCACTGACTATTTCCGTGTGAGATGGTGACCCAAGAAATGCTCTACTCCTTGTCAATGTCTCTCTCGTTACGTGGTGTCTATCGCAACATGGCTACAATGTCTATAATATATCTTAGGTATGATTAATCTATATTTGTATGCGATTTACCGAAGTTATCAGACCCTCTTATATTTACCAGAAATTTTCAGAGATAGATATGTTGTGGTCAGAAATACAGGTATGGAAGTCAGGAAAGAGAAAATGTTAATTATATATATTAAGTGTTCTCACTGAACACTTAATTGTTTATATATATATATATATATATATATATATATATAATAACAAATTAAGTGTTCAGTGAGAACCCACAAGGTTACTCTGAATGATCTTTATTTTCTTCTTTGAGGCTGTGGGTCCCTACAATTGCACCAGAGGTGTAGGTGGTACCCCATATATATATATATATATATATATATATATATATATAGATATATATATATATATATATATATATATATATATATATAAATAATATATTTAATAGTGGGCAGCAGTGTCCCAAAACCGAGAATTCCACAGTAATATCAGGTCAATTCATCACGTATAAAGGTCAGGTCACTACATGATGTAAGGTGGGGGGGGGGTATATTTACGGGAGGTCACCGTTGCTTGTTGATGGCCCAATCGTGCTCTGGTATCACCGAGCGGCGAGAACCACCAGTTTGGGGTCGTTATTAGTCAGTCTGGTGTTGTGTGAGTTGACTAATGTCTTCCATGGGAGAGGTTCATTGAGCTTCTAAGTTGCACTTTTCGACTGAACGAGGCCGTTTATTAGATCAACGCTACACATTAGTTATATATATATGTGTTTTTGATATATGATATAGGAACAGAGAAGCAGAGAGAGGGAGAGACAGACAGACAGACAGACAGACACAGGAATCAAATACCCCTGTCTGTTCAACTGTATGAGACTGTTCAACACGCTTCCACTACACATAAGGGGCATAACTGGCCGACCCCTCACAGTGTTCAAGAGAGAACTGGATAAGCACCTCCAAAGGATACCTGATCAACCAGGCTGTGACTCATACGTCAGGCTGCGAGCAGCCGCGTCCAACAGCCTGGTTGATCAGTCCAGCAACCAGGAGGCCTGGTCGACGACCGGGCCGCGGGGACACTAAGCCCCGGAAGCACCTCAAGGTAACCTCAAGGTAAGGTAACCCCAAACTTTACGTGCCCAAGTGAACTCACTTACAAAGAACAAGAACAAACAATAACAATGACAAGAACAGTATTAAAACAAGGTTAATTAGGTGCAAGAATAATACATATTTTCCCTAACCACAATATATATATATATATATATATATATATATATATATATATATATAATCTATATATATATATATATATATATATCTATATATATATATATTGTGACGGTAACGCGTTGGTGTTCGGCTGTTTAAGGCTAGGGGTATGGCCTCGTCACATAGTTATAAAAAAAAATAGAAAAAACTGGAACTTCGTCTGTGGTAAGGTAAGGAGAAGACACACAAAAACACAAGTAAACTTTAACAATGAAATTTTAATTACGTTAATTAAATCAAAACATGAATAAAATGCACAAACAAATTCTTATAATAAAATCAATCAAAATAATAAGAATAATTAGATGACACAATGAAAAGTTACGTTAAGACAAAATAACAAGAAGTGCAATATACAAGTAAATGGAGGTGCTGGAATATTGGCTTTAAGCCACCACTTCTCTCAGTACACGCTAGCGTCTAGCCGGGAGGAGTGGTGACAACGAGAGCACTGAACATTCTGCCGTAGGAGGTTGGGGCGACCCCAGAACATCAAGTAGTATGGGGGGGCGAGTGCAGGTTGCAGCCAGACCGGCGACCAATCAGCGGAGCCGGTAGCGATCAACATGTAGTTTGGTGGTTTGAGTCCGAACAGGTGGCTGGCTGCATATGTTTTGCTCACCCTGGCAAGCCTTGCTGGTGTTGTTGTTGTTGTGGACATGTCTTCCATAGTCGTTTTATATAATTTCAACGACGTGTTTGTGGAGGGAAGAGCAGGCTCAATCTCTTGAAGGAGATTATTGTCACAATATATATATATATATAGTATATTATATATATATATATATATATATATATATATATTATATATATATAAATATACGTACATAAACTACAGTGAAATATATATATTTTCCTATGTTCTCAGTTTCACTGACTTGAGTCAATTGAGAATTCATGTATTCGCTTTCACAAGTACGGATCCTGTTCATGTTTGTTCACCGCTTCACGGTTTGGCTCTATAGACCTGGGGCCAGATTCACGAAAGTACTTACGCAAGCACTTACGAACGTGTACATCTTTTCTCAATCTTTGGCGGCTTTGGTTACAATTATTAAACAGTTAATGAGCTCCGAAGCACCAGGAGGCTGTTTATAACAATAACAACAGTTGAATGGCAAGTTTTCATGCTTGTAAACTGTTTAATAAATGTAACCAAAGCCGTCAAAGATTGAGGAAAGATGTACACGTTCGTAAGTGCTTGCGTAAGTGCTTTCGTGAATCTGGCCCATGCCTAAGTCCCCCCCCCCCGATATCTTTATTCCTGCCTCCGTCTGGGTGTGAAGTGTGACTCACGCTGTGAGTGTGAGTGTCTGTCACTCATGAGGAGTGTGTGAGGACTGCTCAGAGGAGAAAGAGGTACGGAGAGCTGATCCGTCACTGGGAGAAACAGTGAGCAAGGCTAATCCCACACTGGGAACAGCAGTGTGTAGGGCTGATCACACTGCTGAAGTGTGTGTGTGTTACAGCTTCGTTACACACTAGAGAAGTATGATGGTCTTTCTGGCTAGGGAGGTACGACCTCCCTAGTCAATTCTATAGGGCTACACTAAGAGGCAGTCAGCACCTTAGGGCAATGCAGTTATGTGTAAAATAGATGATTATAAATCATTTATTACAGTGTGTGTGTGTGTGTGCGTGTGTGTGCGTGTGCGTGTGTGTGTGTGTGTGTGTGTGTGTGTGTGTGTGTGTGTGTGTGTGTGTGTGTGTGTGTGTGCGCGCGCGTGGGTGTGTGTGTGTACTCACTTAGTTGTGTTTCCGGGGGTTGAGCTCTGGCTCTTGTGTGTGTGTGTGCGTGTGTGTGTGTGTGTGTGTGTGTGTGTGTGTGTGTGTGTGTGTGTGTGTGTGTGTGTGTGTGTGTGTGTGTAAAGGTTAAGTTGGAAAAACGAGTATGAAAATATTTTACGCAAACATTAAAAATTAAAATATTTTGCCTTTTACCGAAATTTGCCACCAATAACCTTGTTTTCTCAATTTTAACCACGGAAGACGAGAGACAAAGGAAGAGAAGGGAAGAAGAGAGAAAAAGAGTCGAAGAGAAGAAGAAGAGAATGGAGAGTTTGGGAGAGAAAGCGAAACAAAGACTGTGGTAGAGAGCGGTAAGAGGAGAACTTTACAAGAGAATAATCAATACTTAACTCCAGACCCTAAGACGCTTCCCCCAGCCAAGGTAGAGTGAACTCTGGGTTTATTAAGCAAGAAAGGGAAGAGGATGCACTCAAAACAGACAATAGAGGGGCACTAAACAGTCAGAAAAGAGCACATCAGAGTCATTAGAGCACCTGAGAGTCATTAGAGCACCTAAGGCTCATCAGAACACCTGAGTGACAGTTTGAGAACCACAGCGGCGAAGATCAGCCAAAGTTGCTGATCGATGACATGGCTAGAGACGGTCTAGTCATGTCTGAGACGGTCTAGCCATGTCTGAGACGGTCTAGCCATGTCTGAGACGGTCTAGCCATGTCTGAGACGGTCTAGCCATGTCTGAGACAGTCTAGCCATGTCTGAGACGGACTAGCCATGTCTAAGACGGTCTAGCCGTGTCTGAGACGGTCTAACCATGTCTGAGACGGTCTAGCCATGTTTGAGACGGTCTAACCATGTCTGAGACGGTCTAGCCATGTCTGAGACGGTCTAGTCATGTCTGAGACGGTCTAACCATGTCTGAAACTATACGAAACAAGCCAAAAAAAACATGTAATCAGGCTGAGGAAACCCGGTATTCTCACAGAAAGTGACAAGGAGGTGTGTGTGAGAGGAGCTAAACAAAAGGGCAACATAACACAGCCAGTGAACAAATCCACAAGGGCCGTGACGAGGATTCGAACCTGCGTCCGTGAGCATCCCCAGACGCTGCCTTAATGGACTGAGCTTGGATACGGAGGATTCAAGACTACAGGCGACCAGGAACAACATTAGATGATATAGTTGTTGAAGAAAAAATTTAACGCATAGAGGGGGAGCCGGTCGGCCGAGCGGACAGCACGCTGGACTTGTGATCCTGTGGTCCTGGGTTCGATCCCAGGCGCCGGCGAGAAACAATGGGCAGAGTTTCTTTCACCCTATGTCCCTGTTACCTAGCAGTAAAATAGGTTCCTGGGTGTTAGTCAGCTGTCACGGGCTGCTTCCTGGGGGTGGAGGCCTGGTCGAGGACCGGGCCGCGGGGACACTAAAGCCCCGAAATCATCTCAAGATAACCTCAAGATAGAGGAGATTGACGCAACAAAAAAAGCAGAACCTGACTTTATATCGCCGTAGTTGCTGAACGAGGCTATAGAGGAACTCAGCAGCAGCTTAAGTCCCAATATTCTGAAAAGGAACAGCCAAGAGGCACTAAATTATATACCAATGATAACATTTTGCTTGCAAAATACTGGAGAAAGTGAGAAAAATACTGAAAGTGAGAAAGTGAGAAAATACTGAAAGTGAAAGAAAGTGAGAAAGAAAGAAAGTGAGAAAATACTGAAAGAAACTGATCTTAAACTTCGTAACTTAGCTTCGTGGATTTAGAAGGGTGAAGTCATGTCTGGCAAACTCGACAAAGCTTTATGATAAGATCATCAAAATACGACAGGAGTAAGAAATGTGAATAC